AAAACAAGGAACTCATGCAATATTATTCAAAATGGTTGACCCTGGAGGACATTATGCTGAGTGAGGTATCTCAGTCACAAAGGAACAAATGCTATATGGTGCCACTGTTGTAGAATGAGGCTGGCATTGGGGTGGGGGGTAAGACAGAAAAACTTGATGAAATATGTTTATGGCATTGAAGTCTATGGGGGAGAGAATAGTCTAAAAGTATTATATTTTAAGGCATTATTTTTATTGTAGGAGTACGCAATGAGGGTTGCAGAGTGGATTATATTTGGGGGTAGGGCGTGGGGTTTGGGGAGGTGCGGGGGGATTGTACCAATGAGGGAGTTTTTCTTTTGCTTTTCAAGGAGAGGAGCAAAGGGGGGGGGAGGGGTTTGTGCGGGGAGAAGGGTGCAACAATGAATGAATGGAATTCCAAAATCTCTGTAGATGTTCATTGAAATGAAAAATAAACAAACTAAGGGGAGCTCTGGTGGCCTAGTGGCAAGAAGCTGCAACTACAATCCCAGAGGTGCACGGTTTGAATCCACCAGATGCTCTGCCGGGTAAGGAGGGGCAATCTCCTCCTGTACCAGTCAGATCTGATTTGACGGTACACGCACACAAAAATAATAAAATTTTAAAAAATTTAAAAAAAAAAGAAAAATAAACAAACTAAATTAATTTAAAAAAGAAATAAAAAGAGCATCAATAATGGGGAAAAAAAAACCTAGAGACTGCTGGTGAAAATGAGGCCATAACAATGTAATTTTATTGTCAATTTTACTAAGCTTTAGTGTCTATCCTGTAAGTTAAATAAAATACAATTATCCAGAAAAAAAAAGAGGTTGGGGAGCAAGGAGGGAGGAGAGAGAGGAGCTAAGAGAAAGGATGGAGGGGATCAGGCAATGTGTTTCTCAGAGCAAGTAAAGAAGGACCTTGGGAACCAGATACAAGAGTCTGGGAAAGATCCCACAGGCAATAAATAGCAGGCTTTTGTAAATTCTAAGCTGGCAGCAACTTGGTAAAAATAGTATTTGGAGACTATCATTATGTCTTGCCTTTACCACCAAAGGGAAACTGATAGAGGTGTTAAATTTGTTGTCATTATTCCTTTTTTAAATTTTTTTGCATTCTCAAATGGGAATCATAGGCTCATAGGTTATTCATGAGAATGGTTTGTGGAGTGCCCAGCACACAGTAGGTGTCCAGTAAGTTAGCCATACTCTCTCTAACCCCATCACACAGTCATTTTAGTGACTACTGTGTCGATTTTCTCTCCAGGAAGCTACCCTGGAAATATCCTGCAAAGCTCATCTCCCAAGGAAAATCTTCCTCTTTGCACCTTACTTTCTCTGCTTCATCCAGCAGGTCCATTAGAGCTTTTACTGGACATTGCACAGATGGCATTAGTGTGCTATTCTTATGCTTTCTAGAAATCATTCTCTAGTTGGCACTTGAATTACTGGATGTTTATTTCCTTGTGTAACTGAATTCTAAGCTCCTTTGACAGAGAGAACACATCTTCAATTTAAGAACCTTTTTTGTAAATTCGTTTGCTTGCAGTTTATATACATAATATTTCACACTATTCTTCATTCACATTGTGTTTCATACAATCATTCTCATGCATTGTTTTACAAAATTAATCACCATTGGACCTTGTCCATCATTATTACCCTGTCTTTTCAGGATCCCTTCCATTTTCTCCCACCCCC